CTAAAGAATCAGCCATTCCCATGCTTTTAAAAATAGGACTCGCGTTTAAGTATATAATAATATCGCACGGAATAAATATTGCGTGTAATGTGCTATCATAACAAAATTTATACAACATGTAAAAAAACCCTGTGGTTCTCCTTCAGTATCCAAGCGTATAGAAATTTTTTTCGTAAAAAAAACACATTTAAAAAAAATTAATTTTAATGAAAAACAAAATTAATTTGCAAATTGATATGGCCTTATTATCTCTGCATTCGCCGAGGAGATTGTCAAAGACCCCGCAGTACCGATACTCGTGTGAGTTAGAGAAAATAAAACCACATACAATTTGTAAATTCATTTTTTTTTCATCAATTTTTTTAATGTGTTTTTTTGAGAAAAAAAATTATTTCTATATGCTTGGATACCGATTCTGATAACACACTTAACGGGAGCCACAGGGTTTTTGTTACGTATTGTATATGTTAATCCAATATAATATTCCTTAAAGTATTATTATAATAGTTTATGCAAAGAACTATACATACTGTTGCGCGAATAAGTCGACGTCATGTATCCGGCACTAGCGCCATCTAGTGTCAGGGACGAGAGCGAGTGGAGCTTTCCAGAAAATGACATCACTAATCTTTCAACCGACAGCGCCATCTAGTCTCGGAACTAAGAACTAAGCTTCTAGAAGTCGACACTCGAACTCTCGGCCCCTTGCGCGTGTTTACTTGAATATTCTGGATGTTTCGGTGCTAATTTGTATTTATAGGCGCTGCAAGATGCGATCGGGGAAGTATTGAATTCGGCGAGACAAGCAAAGCTTCGGAGCGAAATAAAGTGAATCAGTGTGCTTAATTATTAGTGTTTTAAGTTGATTAAAACTACTTTTACGGATTTTATCGCGTTTTATTTATATTAATTTTAATACCCGACGTTTCGGGTGCTTTCCAGCACCCATGGTCATGGTGGACTGAGGTGACTGACGTCCCGATGTCAAAGTTAACCCGGAGTACCTTCAGCTTTTTAATTATTGTATTTAAATATAATAAAATTAATAAATATAATAAAATATAATAAAATCCGTAAAAGTAGTTTTAATCAATGTATAGTGTTCGCGTAAATATAAGAAATCATAGTGTTTTAAGTCTTAATTTGTGTAAAGAAAATTAAAGTGTTAATTTAGGTAATTTCATCGACAATTTTTAATTATCACGAACCTCAAGCTCGTAACAATTGGTGTCAGAAGTGGGATAAAATCATGCCGATTTTACCTAAGGTGGAAACGGAGGGTGTCCGTACCCGAACTCAACGCCAGCAGGAGACGGACCAAAGAAGATTTGGTGGTGCAACGCCACAGACGTCGGAGGGCCAGCCGCTGGCTGCAGGCCCGTCAGTAGCTCCTACATCTGCAGCACCTGACTTAGGTGCTCTGATGGTGATGCTGCAGGAACAGGTCCGTCAGTTGAAAGAGCAGCTGCAGAGCGGACAGGAGGAACAGGTCCGTCGGTTGGAAGAGCAGCTGCGGGGCGGACAGGAAGAACAGGCCCGCCGACAGGAGGAACAGATGCTTCTCATGAAGGACCTTCACGCTACCTTCGGGAAAGAGATAAGGGAGGTGAAGGATAGGGTTGCTCAGCATGACAACCGCCTGTTGGAAGCTGAAACCCGAATCGAGAAAGCTGGAACCCGAATCGACCGAGTGAACAATCGGGTTGACAACGTAATGGCTGACATGAAGAAATCACTGGACGAACTCAAACTTGGGGATGGAACTACAGCTCCCGTAGTAGCTACTACACCTTCGCTACGTGGGTTCAAGGTGCCACCGTTCGACGGGACTTCTTCCTGGTCAGCCTACAAAATTCAGTTCGAGGCTGTTATGAAGGCAAACAGCTGGAATAAAAGTCAAGCCATGACTGCTCTCACACTAGGCCTGCGCGACCAGGCCTTAACAGTTCTAGAAGCTCTCGGTGAGGTGACTTATGAGCAACTCCTTGAGGCATTGTAGGCGAGATATGGCGACGCTCACCTGGAACACGTCTTTCGTGCGCAGCTTAAAGATCGCGTGCAGCGCATCAACGAAAACCTGCAGCAGTGGGCTCTAGAGGTGGAGAAGCTGGTGCGAAAAGCATACCGATCTGTACCTGCGCTCATTGAAGGGAACCTGGTGCAGACATTCATCGACGGCATCCGCGAACTGGAAGTCAGAGCTGCTGTGAGGCTCGGGCACCACGAGATGCTTAAGGACACCTTGGCTTATGCACTGGAGGTGGAAGCCGTGCGGCAGGATCATCGTTCCCATCGCGTCAGGGAGGTTGCAGCAGCTACAGTTCGCGACCGCAACAAAGGATTCAGCCCTAGGTGCTATGGCTGTGGGGAAAGGGGCCATCTTCGATCCAGCTGCCCTAAGCGAACCGTAGAAAGGGAAGTTGATCGATCTCGAGAGGGTAGTGCAGCTAACGACACCGCCTGGCGGTGGCAGGATCATCGTTCCCCTCACGCTAGGGAGGTTGCAGCAGTTACGGTTCGCGACCACAATAAAGGATACAGCCCTAGGTGCTATGGCTGTGGGGAAAGGGGCCATCTTCGATCCAGCTGCCCTAAGCGAACCCTAGAAATGGAAGGTGAACGATCTCAGAAGGGAAGTGCGGCTAACATCACCGCCCAGCAGCAACCGGGATACGACTTTACTATCAGACATCGCAGCGGGAAATCTCATGGCAACGCAGATGCATTGTCAAGAACACCTTGTCCTGAAGATTGCAAACATTGTACTAGGCAAGAGAGTAAGGAAGTGGTATCCGTGAGGATGCTCAGGACAGACCACCTCAGCAACGAGTGGAAGGACAGCTTACGACATGCACAGCAGGAAGATCCGGACATCAAGCCGATTCTGGAATGGATGAAGGCCCGTGCTATCAAGCCTAAGTGGAGCGACGTCTCAGCGATGAGTTCAACCACGAAAAGCTTTTGGGCCCAATGGGACAGCTTGCTGATTCAGGATGAAGTCCTGTGCCGTAAATGGGACAATGGTCGAGAAGACAGCTGTCGTTTGCAAATGCAAATGCCATAATGGTCGTTCAAGAGTCCACCTGGGGGTTAAACGAACTCTACTGAAGTTCCGAGAACAGTTTTACTGGGTCCATTATCGTGACGATGTCGAGGATTTGTGTCGTACATGTACAAGTTGTGCGGCTGTGAGGGGACCTCAGACACGTAGTAGAGGAGCATCGAAATTGTATAATGTTGGTGCACCATGGGATTGGACAGCCCTTGACATTGCGGAGCCGTTACAGAAAGGCGCAAGAGGGACTCCTAAGATCGTCCATGTGGATCGCTTGGCGCGTTATTATGGGGCCGATAATGCTCGGGACGAGCATGTCTTAGGAGGGGGCAGTGTTGCGCGAATAAGTCGACGTCATGTATCCGGCACTAGCGCCATCTAGTGTCAGGGACGAGAGCGAGGGAAGTTTTCCAGAAAATGACATCACTAATCTTTCAATCGACAGCGCCATCTAGTCTCGGAACGAGGAACTAAGCTTCTAGAAGTCGACACTCGAACTCTCGGCCCCTTGCGCGTGTTTACTTGAATATTCTGTATGTTTCGGTGGTAATTTGTATTTATAGGCGCTGCAAGATGCGATCGGGGAAGTATTGAATGCGACGAGACAAGCGAAGCTTCGGAGCGAAATAAAGTGAAATTAAAGTGTTAATTTAGGTAATTCTACCGGCAATTTTTATTGTCACGAACCTCAAGCTCGTAACAATACTTTCAAATTAGGTTCAGTTCACACAGAGAGGCGACGCGAAGCGACGATGCTTGAAGAGGTCAGTGGTTTCGCACCGCGCAGCGCTCCGTCGCGAGACGGACGGACGTCGTGAAACGCATCGTGAAGTTGTTGTGCACTATGCACCTACCGACGGAGCAACGCTGCGTCTTGATGTGCCGCGCTACACCGCGAGGCATCTCGAGGCGCAGCGTGATGCCGCGGGGCATTTTCAAATATATCAACAAAATGAAATTTATTAAGTAAAATAATATATTTAAGGCTAATTTAATGCGATACTGACTTCTTAGTGATTATATTACTACGATGAGGACCATAATCAATAAAATCTAGTACAGTTTTTGAATATTCAAATTAATATTCAAAAACTGAAGGTAGCCGGGCTAACTATGATATTGAGACGTCAAACATCTCAGTCCCTTCCCGTGACCAATTAAAAATAAGTTAGTTAAACGTGATAAAATCCGTATATATATAATATATATTATATATATATATATATATATATATATATATGTAGTTTTATTCAACGCAACGTCTTTTATATGGTGGTCAAAACAAGTTTGTTTATTGAAGTATGACATCTTGTTTTGATCAGCAATAACAGTGGAATAGTGTAGGCAGCGTCTTCTGTAACGTTATACTTCATAACATGTTTACGAGTAATCTAATAACAAAACTTATGACAAACATGATCAACATGTTGTTGTGATATTACTAATACTTGCAAATAAAGGGCCTAGTAGTTGTCATGATATTACATCAACTTTTAGAATGTACTACTATGCTGCAAAAATTTTATATGCGCTATAAATGAACAAAATGTATCTTTATTTTTAATTAGCATTTTCAAGCAATTTGAAGAGTTTTAATTTTTTTTGCGCGGTACCCTAATTCATTTTCTGAAGCAAATGAAGTTAAAGTTGGTCCTTATAATATCAGCTGTCTGCCAGTAAAGGTTCCGTTTAAATCGGTCTTGCCATTTCGGAGATTAGACGGAACTAACAGACAGACACAAAATAAAAAAAATGTTTTTTGTTATTAGTACAGTATATACCTTCATATGCATTTAGCAAAATATATTATGTTGACATTACAGACATTTCAATTTTATTTTCTGTTTAAAAGAGTGATTACTTGTAAAAAGAAGCAAAAATGTGTTCGTGAGTAAAAGTGATGGAAATCACCACAGACAATAAAATAACAGACAGTAAACTGTAGATGTGTACAAAATGGCGTCACAGAATATCAAGCGCGTTTCTAAACTGTGTGCTGATGAGGAGATTTAAGATAGCAGTCAGGAAGTGGCGGAGAATGCGCCTCTTCCGAAAAAGGGATGGTAAGTTGTATTTCATGTAGAAGAAAAGAGACAGACTATTATTTCCATTTTTATATAAGTAGTAAATAGGCATTAGTTTCGAGTATCTATTATTACCAACTTTACATGAACGTTTGTTGTGTTTAAATATTTACTTATTACACAATCACGAATATGATTTTGAATGTGAAAACAGATTTGTATACATTTGTGTTTTTTTTATAGGATAGAAGGGTGTCAAGCGAGCGCACTGTCCACCTGATGGTAAGTGGTAGCTGTGGCTTATGAGCCATTAGTCTATGGACTACTCAAAATGCAGATGCGTTGTCAGCCGCGAGGACTAAGATGGAATGCCTCTTTTCCATTAAAAAGGGTCTCCGGTTCTCTACACTCACCATACGAAACACAGCAGCATTAAGCTGCTATTTTACTCTGGTATTCTTTGAGAGCGTGGTCCTTCCCCGGTCGTCTCGACCCATTCGTGCTGTAACTATATAATTAATATGTTTTTAGCTGCAGCATGGCTCTACCACGTATAAAATTGTGTAAGTTTCTCCAACTTTATATAGAAGTATAACCTATTAATTAATAAGAAGAACCCTAGAAATTTGTTTACAGTTACGAAAAAAAAAAGAAAATCGTCGAATCGTAAACCTATTTTTTTTGAAGTCCGCTGAACAGTTAAAATCGTTTCAATTTCTAAACGGGCGAATTCGCGGACAGAAACTAGTAATGCATAAAACAAAAAGCCACCATATATTAAAGAAGATGATAAATTTTGATTTCGCCAGAAGGAACCACATTGTAATATTCTTGAAAGTATCAAGCTATTGTCATCCTTTATCATTATAACAACAACTTCTTCCAAGAAATGGTGCTTTTGAATAGCCCACACAATAATCTACTATAAGCGCACATGGCCGGGCAAAGATAGTAAAATATTTTTATGTCCTTCGTTATTTCGAGTTGCTAATAAGAAGTTAATACTACGCCCTACTGCTGTTTCAGTTACTTTCTATCGCCTCTTACGAAACCCACGAGATGGTATTATAACCCACTACCTTTGGATGTTGTTCGACATGTACATGCACAGTGTGACATTGTATGTATATACATGTCGAACTACATCCAAAAGCCGACCGCACTCGTAAATTGCAAGAACTTAAAAAAATATATTACAAAAATTTACGTGAACTTAAAAATTATCTACGGCTAATGCTTTTAATGCGGTGTTCAAACTATTTTTATATCATTCAGAAATATTATGTCTTTTTTAGGTTATGAAGTTAATGAATTTACATCGTTAGGTTTTATAATAAAATTCGAATACATGCACTGAGCAGCAAGTAACGTAGCTGGCATTTTCATACTACATTGTCATTTAATATGTTTTAATTCCATCACTTACTTTATTTTAACCACACATTCACCTCTATTTTCTTTGGCCGGATGGTATTTTCTTTAAATTAATAGATACAATAATGTTAATAAACTGTATAAAATATTTTACTTCTATTTTTTGGTTTATCACTAACTACTTGCGATTGGCATTAATTGAGATATATTATTACAATATTATGAGTACCCTTAACTGACGAGCATGTGTGCGTAGCGTGTGCGTGCATAAGATCGTGCCAAATGGAAGCCCGTAATCTCTGCCTACCCTTCTGAGTGACAGGCGTGAGTGTTTATATATGTATGTATGCATTGCAATATTTATTTAAAGCCAAGGTAGCTGTAACCATACCAGGTAAGTGAAGATAATGCCTTGGCTACTCTAATAAATGATATTACGATGTATCGTCGTACGAAATAGTGATTACGGATCTTAGAGACGGAGATTTATACAAGATATTCCATCTCAGTATCAAAGATATACTGTCAGAGATGTAAGTAGGTAGTATTATTTATTCTGTTATTATTAGATCTTCAAAGAGAAACACGGGCCAACGGCGGACCGGAGGGAAATCCACAGCGTTTTTTCTCGATACAGAACTGTCTGTTATTTTATACGGGGGAAATCTGCGCACATAAAAAGAATCGCCTGCCGTTATGAATCTCATATAGCAATAAGTAAAACAATAAAGTAACAATTTCACACACGCACATATATACATTATAACAGCATCGCGCCGTAACAGCGACTACTCGGATACAGATCCGAATCTGTCGCTCGATCGATCGATATGCATATTGTAAATGCAAATGGCCTGTGTTGGTAAATAAATCCGAAACAACACGAACGTTATTATTGACATTTTTAAGTTTAAAAAGAAGTCAATCGCTATAATGTGATAAAAAATTAGTTATGTGAAAGTTAACGCCATCTTTTTATTAAATTTGACGTGGCATATACCTTTTTGCAGCAAATAACATTCAGCCGTGGTAGCTCCGGGGCTAAATGCTCGCTGTAAATTTCACAGTACGCGAGCAGCCCGGGTTCGATCCCCGCCGGCACCTATGAAATTGTTAATTGCAATTTTAAATGCTGATTTACCATGTGCTGTGAAAACATCGTGAAGAAACCTGTATGTCTGATAAATAAGAAAAGGAATATTTCGAAGACATGTGAAGTTATGCGCATAAGGGCAGCGCAAACAATTCCTTGCCCTAAAAACCCTTTCAGAAATTGGAGAAGGCCAGTGCCAAGCAGTGGGACGTATATAGGCTGTAACTTTAACTTCAGCGTTTTTGTAGAATGTTGATTCAGCCACGCAACTAGATTTAGTCTAATGATCAGTGTGGCAGCAAATAGTTTTATTGTACGCGTAGGACCGCATGGACTTATGCTCTAACAAAGAGTAACGCCTGCGTATGGCTGGGCCTATCCGATCCGCCAGTGGCCTGTGTTGCTCTATGGAATATGATACTTCTATTATCCAAGGTCAAAACAATGTCATAGGAGCAGCAATAACTCGTAATTATAAAAAGTATAAAAAGGGTTACTCTCACTACTCTCCCCTCCGTCACACAGAAGAATAGAGATATTTAATTATAAGGTATTTTATATGCTTAAATATTTATTCCATAGAGTTATCACCATTTAACACAGATAAGATCTTAGTCAACAGTTTCGGTCAACTATATCTCTTGATCTTAACATATGTTAGCGCACGAATGTCTAGCGGTGACCGTTATTGCACATAATTGACCGTGTACATTATTGCGTATGATTGGTTGTGCGTATCGTTTGCACGTGCTGATTGGCTCTCCAGTCGCATACCGTCCCCCGTATTAATACGACATTCGCAGCTATACCCTACACATTTATTTACTTCAGCGCTAGAGTTACGTGCCGCGACTTATACCTCTGTTTATATACATAGATCGAAAGTAAGTCGAAATCGGCTAACACTGTTATAAAGATTGCAACCACAATAAATATTACAATATATTCCTGTCTATAGATCTATCTACGAGCCGTCAACAGTCAAATGACCAAGCACCGTCGACATCTGGTACTCCTGCACACTTGGCCCGCCCCGTGCCCACAGACCCGCTACTGGTGAGTAAATATTAAATTAAAAGATTATACCGTTACATACGCGCTTCTTTTTGCATTTTTTTGTTTACTCATATATTACAGCCCATTGAAAGACCACTGCTGGACATACAGGTATCCTACGTAGAATGGCTCAAAATTCAGGCGAGTCTTTTTAATTATTAGTAAGCTGTAGATAATCAGGAAAACGCCGCAGTCCGTTTCAGGTTTAAGTTTGTTTCCGTCACCTTTTACGACACCTACAAGATGATATTGGGTAATAATGTCCTCTAGACTGAATTTCAGTCACGGTGTCCAGTCTCATCGGAGGCTATCTACGCAGGATAGGATTATAGTGCCCAAATATGCGCAAGCATAGGTGCATTCTCTATTACCTCACTTCCTTAGTCCGTTGGGACGGCAATCCAACACGAACAAAGGGACAATCAGGCGCAAGACAAACGCCTTTACATGTTTTCTGCGCAATGAAGTTGAAAAACCGTTAACTTCCTGACTATCAGCTGCTGAAATTGTTGACAGAAAAACCAAGTAACTGATTTTTGGTCCAACTCGGGGATCGAACCCTCGCGATCAGTAGACGCGCAGACCAACGAGGCCAATCGCCAGATTTAATTTACAGATTTCGCTAACGGGGCTTCATAATTCATATGTGATGGTTAATCCACCATTTGTTAGGTGGCTGCCTTGACTGTATCTGCCTGACAGTTCCTTTAGTCAACTTTCATTACGGGGCGGAATGGGAGATGGGAAGGGAATTAATGTCACTCCGCAACAGGATTTCTTGCGCAACATTCAATTACACGATTGTAATTTTTGATGCCTTAAATGAGTATAAGTAATTATATCTTATCTTATTTTTTTAATGTAGGGAATTTTAGGTATAGTAAGCCTATATAAGTCCTTCTGTTGGTCACAAACTTCTTATTCCTGAGAAGGTATAAAAGAAAAAAATGCAACTGTGTTTCGTAAGGTGAGTGTAGAGAATCGGGGACCCTTTTCTACTGGAAACGAGACATTCCATCTTAGTCACAACGCATCTTCATTTTGATTCTTAATCGAGGATAGAATTTAGATTTCTATGGGCTATTGCTTTCCACTTACCATCAGTTGGATTGTACGTTAGTTTATCACTCATATTGTATAAAAAAAAGAGTTCACCGCACTGCCCCAGTGCGCGTGTCAAAGGTGCAACTCCAAACAAACCTCAATATATTTTTAATGCGTCAGTAAAGGAGTAAGTATGGGTACGCGAACGTGTGAAGGACTGGCCTACTTTATTTCATTATAGAAACTGAATGATGTTTCTTTAATGACATTAAGTTAGATTTTTATTTATGAGATTGTACATTAAACTACATACACTTAACATTTAGTACAGTCCAAAGATTATCAGTGTCAATTGGTGAATGTAATTTTTTATAGGAGAGGGGGTAAACGAGCGTACCGTTCACCTGATAGTAAGTGATTACCGCCGCCCATGAACAAATGCAACACCAGGGGAATTACAGATGCGTTGCCGGCCTTTTAAAAAGAATTAGGCTCTTTTCTTGAAGGTCCCTAAGTCGTATCGGTCCGGAAAAATCTCTGGTGGTAGTCGATTCCACAAAGAAGTTGTGCGAGGAAGAAAACTTCTTTTAAATCACACAGTGGTGGACCGCCAGTCATCCAGATGGCATGGATGTTTTCGTGAGTTTTGTCGCGATGTGCGATGGTGAAATTGTGCGGCTGGAATTAGTCCGAACAATTCCCCCGAGCACTCCCCCGTGGTAAATGCGATAATACACGATAAAATAAATTAATTCAGAAGTATTTATATTTGTAAAGTAAAACATAAGTTTTAACTTACATAGTCATTTTTTTCATTGTTGTAGTCGGCAACCCTAAACTTGTAAATTCTTCATTCTTCTTAAAAAAAATGTTATCCCCTCTCTAGGATTTTCTCCTGTATCGTGGAGGCGGTTTACATACACAAATGGACAAACATCCAGCCCCGAAACAGTTATAAGGAGTAATACTAGTTTTTACGGAATTTATCGCGTATATTTTACTTTTTTAATACCCGACGTTTCGAACGCTTTACAGCACTCATGGTCACGGGCGGGACTGAGATGTTCAACGTCCATATGTCATAGTTAACCGTGGTTACCATAGATTAAAATTTAACTTTTGTTCCGATCTATGCAGTATGAACTTATGGTATCTTGAAGTCTTGCAGTTGTATGCTTGGGTTGGGATTTAATTTTATTTATTATAGGATCCCAAGCAGATGGTAGCACCCAGCCATCTTCTCTATTGAAATTAAGATGTTTTTTGATTTCAATAGCCTCGCGAATCATCCTTGGAAGGAATCGGTGTTCTTTAGCGAGGATTTGTGGTCTATCAAATCTAATGTAGTGACGGGGGCGATCCTGTACATGTTCACAGACTGCAGACTTCCCGGAGCGTTGATTCTTCACATCAGCTATATGTTCTTTGACGCGGGTTTTAATTGATCTTTTAGTTTGTCCTATGTAGGAGAGACCACATTCACAATCAAGCTTGTACACTCTTGCATCTTGAAGAGGGACGTTACACTTGACTGATGGTAAAAACTGACCAATCTTCTTCGGCGGCTTGAAGTATGTTTTGATGGAAGCGCGCTTCAAGATGTAGCCAATCTTGTCAGTGACTCCTCTAACATATGGCAGTACAGCAGGTACACGCTCGACTGTGGCCGGCTTCACTCATTCTCTGTGACGTAGGCGCGGAACCCGAAGCTTGTTGTCATGCAAAACTTGCTTGACGTGTTGGAGCTTGGCAGCCAGATGTATACTCTCACAGATCTCTCGTGCTCTCTGAAACAAAGATTTACCCACGGTAGCTAACTGTGAAGGATGGTGGTGAGAATCACCGTTTAAATATGTGTCTGTATGGGTCTTTTTTTCTATACACAGTATGGCTCAAGGTGTTATCAGGATTCCGAATTACTAACACATCTAGAAAAGCTAAGGAATTGTTTGCCTCTAACTCCATTGTGAACTGAATTTTAGAATTTATAGAGTTAAGATGTCTAAAAATGCAGTTACTTTATCTAAAGGTAGAATTGTGAAATTGTCGTCTACGTAGCGTTTGTAGAATCTTGGATTTATGGGAAAGGTAAGCAGGGCTTTCTCTTCAAAGTCTTCCATGAATATGTCGGCGACAATGGGAGATACAGGTGAGCCCATCGCCACACCATCTACTTGCTTGTAGAACTCCTCCTTCCACAATAATAAATATACGCGATAAATTCCGTAAAAACTAGTATTATTTCATTGTGTAGTGTTCGCGTAAATATAAGAAATCATTAGTTATAAGGAGGCCAAACAAATACTTGTTCCATGCGGAACTCGAAACCACGGCTCTCAGCACCACAACTCACTGTGCTACCGAGCTATCAGCAAATACAAAAATCTAATCAACAAGTTTGGCCCACGAATTAAAACATATATATATATATATATATATATATATATATATATAGGTTTTTAACATACATAACGTAATACGTAACATATACATAAACACTCACGCCTGTCACTCCGAGGGGTAGGCTGAATCTACAGATTCCCATTGGGCACGACACCTCTCTCGCCTCCCCCACATCCATATACCTACGCATACATGCTCTTCGGTTAAGGGTTCTTTTTTGGTATAAGTCCTACACAAACATGGAACCTGTAAGTCCCAGACCAACATTCAGCTTTTTCGTGTTTTACAGATACATTTCGGATAGTATGCGCAGGAATCGCATGATTTAATCTCCCCCCCCCCCCCCTTCCATTCCATCATCGGGCCACAAGACGCTCGGCTGGTCACGCTTTGAGATCGGATTAGCGATCATAATGTGTACAGGCGTACATCAAGCGAGAGAAATAATTTGCCAGCATCTGTGATTCAACCCATAGTAATGTAAGTGTCGTCAAGGCAAGACTGAATAGGCTTCTTCGAGCGAAGCTACCAACTTTAGCTGCATTACCATTTATCATCAGGTGGTGTAGTAATTAAGTACTGGCTTATAATATTTAGTGTAAAAAACATTGTCACATGTTTTTAAAACCATACAAACGGTATAATCAAAGTTGTCTGTATACAATTTCATATTTATAAAATACGAAAAGACTTTTCCCCCGGAATACTGGTATTATTAAACTCATACCATTACGTTTGAAAATCCAGATTTATGTTCATGTTATATCAAGGAAATGTTTCTGCGGATTATTCTCGTGTGTACAAAATGAATGTTACAATTCTATGTGCACACATATATTCAAGACAATAAAACGCTGAAGCATTTCTATTTTAGTTATGTTAAAATACACTTATTAAAAGCAATCATTTTAGTTTTCATTTAGTTTAATTTATTCATTTCCAGTCAATGTTTGCTGTTAATATTAATGTAGTTTTTTTATAGCTCTCACAGAATACTAGCGTAAAGTAGCAGTTTGATGCTGCAGTGTTTCGTATGGTGAGTGTAGAGAATCGGAGACCCATTTTAATGGAATTTAGGCATTCTATTTTAATCCTCAGGGGGACAACGCATCTGCATTTTGATTCGTAATAATAATAATAATAATATAATTAAAATAAGTTCTTTATTTCCAAGAGGTTGTACATCACAATATTTGCATAACATTATTTAATTAAGCTACATTAGTACATATACTTGAAAACATAGCATCTGCAGCCGAACTAGGAGACCTGTGCATCAGCTGTCAGCGCCATATCCCCACCGTTAATTTATAGAAATATTAGGATGCAAGTAAAAGTTAAATAATCAAATACTATCTAAAAATTTGTACATTCCGCTAATATAACCTAACTACAATGAAATTAATTGTATCACATATTATGTTTATATACTATGTTACCACTTATTACTAATACCAAGGTACAAACAAAATAATAATTTATACTACCAATGCCGTTCCTCTCTCACAGGATGTGTAATGTATGACTGTAAGAAGTAATTGTGTTATGAGTGT